AACAGGCACATTTGGCTTCCTTGGTGGCACAGGGGTTAAAGTCTCAGCGTTAACCAGCCACTGCAGTGAGTCTGATCCCCCCCCCCCACGGAGCTACCCACCTGGTGCAGCAGGCCTCTCCTGTCTTGCCCGCTGCTCCCCTCAGCAGTGTATTTCACTTAGTCTGCCTGTTCTGCTCCCTGCTCTGTCTCTGGCGAATCCTCTCACCCTCCTACCTCTGACCTATGCCCCAGCTCTTATATGCATAAATAAATAAAAATAAATCTTAAAAAAGAAAGAACAGTTAGATTTGACTCACTGGAAAGGACAGTGAAATACTGAGATGTCGTTTAAATTTAAATGCACTGAACTGAATAAATTGAAAGAGAGGAGAGAGAAGGCAACAGCGCTAGACTAAGGGGAGCAAAATTAATTTAGGAAAAGGAAAACTGCCTTTTTGTTGTTCAACAGAGAAATTCAGAGAACCTGTAGACTCCTATATACTCCGGTACATTCACTGTTAACCCATCCCATCTCCATGACCGGAGGGAGAGGTGATTTGGGTTTTTAAAACTGTCAGTGCTTCCAGAGCAAGCACTGTACAGCTTCCAGCCGTCTGATCGCATTCAGGAGCCAGTCCTGGTACAAGTAAAGTACAGATTTTAAACTTGTTAAAATCAATAAGCAGAACCTGAAATCATCACCAACATTACCAGATGTTGTTATTGTACAATGTGAACTTAGCTTTTTTTTTTTTTAAATATCTTTTGAAGTGAGAATTTCTTCAAGTGACTGTGTTAGTAAACCTACAGGAAGGAATATATCGCAGAAGATTTTTGTTTGCCATCACTATTTCTGGCACTGTGCTCTCCGAGCTATTTACAAGGTGTTCCTTAGCTCAGGTCCTCTCCCACGTAGAGGCTTGTTCCTTTCGCGACTCCTACTCTTTCAGTGTCTTCTGAGTAAAGTTGTGAGTGGTGACGAAGTCATGGTAGATTTTCTGAACCCCGAGACCCGGCAACTTTGACAGAGTCAAGACAGCGCGGCAGAAGTCGGCGTGCGCTTTTGCAGCGCTTGGTCGGATCTGGCGCAGTATCAGATCTTCGTCGGCGCAACCCAGAGGCGCACCACCAAGGACCTCATTTTGGGTCAAAGATGCAGGGCACATGTTCGGGCTTGGGCTGCCTTCTCCGGAAAGCAAAGAGGTATAGGCGGGCTTGCTCTCCGCCTGCTGGGCGCCGCGAGTGGAGACCGTGGGTGGGTGGTAGTGGAGCGCACGCTCCAAGCGCGAAGACTGCGCGCAGTGTTTGCGGGAGCCCAGCTCAGCCAGCGCGCGATTGGACCGCAGCTCTTTCAAAGGCTGCGCGTCTATTTACAACGCGAGCGGAGCAGGCGGAGGAGCCGAGCAGGCGGAGGAGCGGAGCAGGCGGAGGAGCGGAGCAGGCGGAGGAGCGGAGCAGGCGGAGGAGCGGAGCAGGCGGAGGAGCGGAGCAGGCGGAGGAGCGGAGCAGGCGGAGGAGCGGAGCAGGCGGAGGAGCGGAGCAGGGAAAGACTGACCGCTCTGCAGGGGAGGCAGAGACCGTGTTCACGTCTGTAGTTCTGGTATCTGGAGCAATTAGTTGGCAGAAAGAGGCCCTTACCAAAGACTAGCTGGCTTTTTATGCTTTTCTTGTCCAGGAAGATCTCATCTTTAGAAGCTTGTCATTCGGGAAATTGGACCCGATGAGCGCGTGGATGCCGACTTGGAGCGCCCAGTGGCCCCATACTTCCTGCCCACGGTTCTCCCACCAGTCATTTGGCCAAGCCCCACGCGAGTCACCCTCTGGGACCTGACCTAGGCCCTGTGGCCTGAGGCATTGGTGCAACGTCCAGTGTTTCGCTTCCTTTGCCGCGGTGGAGCCCGGAGTGGCGCTTCGGCACGGACCGAGCCCCTCTTTCCGGGATTCGCTCTGGGATCCCTCCTTAAGCCCCTCTGGGTGGCCAGCCTCCACTGGCAACAAAACCACACCTGCGGCACCCAGACCACGGACTGGCGACTGTGCACCAGGCCAAGTAACAAACTCTTCAAAGATATCATCTCATTTCACTCGCGGGAGCCCATTTTATAGAGGAGGAAATGAGAATTACTTGCCCAAGGCTACGAATAGGGAAGGAGGACCGACCGGAATTTAAGCACAGGCAGGAGGGACTTGAAAGCTGAAGCTCTTCTTCGTGGAAGGCAAAACTCCAAAGACCCTGGTCTCAGAGTCAGGGAAAGGCGGCGGGGTCTCGTTTTGGAGAAAGCTAGTGATCCGGAGTCAGCACGCGCGCCTTTCCAGCCTGGGTCAGTGAACCCTGGGACCCGCGCATAGAGGCGGCGGGGCGTGAGTCTCAGGGAGGGTGGTGGGTAGGGTGTGGAGCCCTGAAAACCTCCTTTACATCTAAGGACAAGACTCCTTTGCCTCCACCAAATGGGCAGGTCCTTCCAATCCTCTCTCCAATCCCTCAGCATCAGTCTCCCAGCGCATCATATGGAGACAGTCTCACTTACCTGCTGAAGGCTGCTGTGGGAAATCAAAGAAACTTATTTATGAGAAAGGGCTCCGTATAAGTGGGAACTGTTCAGCAAAGATTAGTGAATATATGAACAAGTCAGATCCACAGGGCATTTGTCAAAGGCGAGGGCAGGAGAGCAGCCGGCTCATGGCTGCAGCAGCTCCACGGTGCCTTCCGAAAATGATGGTGGCCATAAACAATAGCTAATATTTGCAGAGGGATAACTGCTTCCCTGCTACTGAATAAAACGTTTCAGTCATATTCTTTGGTTTAAATCTCACAACTCTGTGAGGTAGTATTTACCTCCACTTTCCACTTGCAGAAACTGGCACAGTTAAGTTGAATAATTTTATCAGGCTCATCGACCAGCGTTTCAGGGACCCAGGCTGGAACACAGGTTTGCTAGAGTCCACAGCCCAGGAGGGTGAGCAGAGACTGCAGGGTAAGGGTACGCCCACGAGAAGTCCCATTAATTAGAAAGTTTTCCGTTCTGAACCTTATTTTCTTTTTTCTTGTTAAGATTTATTTTTTATTTATACAAGAACCGGGGTTCAGGCCAGAGGTGCGGGAGGATGGGAGAATTCACCAGAGACAGAGTGGGAAGCAGAACAGGTAGAGGGATCAAAAACACTGCTGAGGGGAGCAGTGGGTGGGCAAGACAGGAGGGGCCTGCAGGGCCGTGTGGGCATCTCCCTGGCTGGCTGGGAATCAAACCCGCACTGCAGGGGCTACGGACAGCTTCACAGCGCTGCACTCAACCCGCTGTGCCACCGGGGAGGCCCTGATCCTTACTTTCTTGAGAGGTATTATTATTCGATTTTTCTCTCAAAAGACAGGCAAGCCAACAACAAAACAAAATCAGGTCCTGCATCTCTTTGCAAAAGACTACAGTAGCGACTAGTGGGGGTGAGCCGATCACTTAGAATGGGGTCTGCACTCAGCAGGCGCCTTCGGGTGCACCACCGGAGTCCACAGAGGAGTGTGGTGGCCTCAGGGGTTGAAAACCCACCTACTCAGGACCTGTTTGTCCCTGATGCAGGAGATGCTTGGCCCTGGAGCTCTTGGGGAGAGACATCCAAAGCTAGAGTTCCTTCCCAAAAAATCACAGAAAAAGACCTCACTGGAGACCACCATTTTGTGAGAAAGGGGAGACCACGCCAGCACCAGGCCACCGCAGGCCGACCTACAAGCGCTAGCCAGAGGCACCCAATGCCCCATGCCTCTGGGCTTAATTACCTAACAAAGTCATGGTAAAAAGTGACTCTTAAGTTAAAACCGAAACAAAACAAAGCCGAAAATTCACCCACTCATACCCTGCCCGACCCAAAACTCATGTATGGCTAGTACCCCTAAAATAAATATTGCTTTAATGTTTAAAATGAAATGGAATCATTACACCACAAGAGGTTTAATACAAAGGGAGGGAAACCAGTTTTCATCTTTCCATATTATCCATATTTATTAGGTGTTTTCCCACAAGGCCCAGACCCTGAAATGAGGAACCCACCAGGGAAACCACAGACCTGTTTGTGAAGAATTTTTAGGTAATTTAAAACTTTAAATAAAAACAAACAGTTTTCCAAATCTCCCAAACACAGATATTTTCATCATTTCTAGAGATGTGAAAATCACACTGGCTCTGGGAACAGTTCTCAGTGTGGGACAGACCAAGCCGCTTGCCTTCCACACGGCAAGCCAAGAGCTCTTGTGTGAGCTTCTCCTGCCTTGTAACCAAGAACTAAATCCACACCCTAAATAAAAAGGTCCAAATATCTTCAGTATAGTGATGACTCAGGAGTCTATCTTCTGTAAGTTCCTTACTCCAGGCCATCTCCCCTAGTTTTCTCTGGAAGCATAGGACCCACCAATGGGGTGCACAAGGACTCTGCCCTTACACCCCACCCCAAACCCTGCTCTTTGCCCAGCAACCCTAGCAAGATGTTCCCTTCTTCAGAGCAAAGATGTGCAGGTTGAAGTACAAGTATGTGGGTGTTCTAAAAGGATTGGAAAAGAAAGGGTAGGAGGAGGAATTATTCTATTCCACACACATCGATTTCACTGGATCTTTGTAATTTTAGGCATTACCTTTCAAATATTGATATATCTAAATGCAATGAGGCAGCCCAGTGTAGAAATGGCTGGTTTTGGGTAGATAAAGGCACTCCTTCCTGCTTGTGTGCTGGGGAGCACCCCAATCTGTACAGCTTTTGTTGTCTTTTGAAGAGTTGGCTTCCCTAAAGTGGTTTAGGCTTCCAGAGTACTGGGAGCTGGCCAACAGCAGCCAAGGTGGCCAATCCAACAACATCACCAGAAGAGACCCCACATATTACAGAAAACTCTCTTCTTCTGGAAGGCCTGCCAGCGACTCCCCCCAACCCCCAGGCCTCCTGGAACCGAAGCCTGAGAGCTCCTCCCCTCCCATCTGGTGTGGGCCGGGCCATTCCCCTCTGCAACGAACTGCCAGGCCCGGTGGTCCACATCCAAGGTCCTAGGCCCGCTCCTCCCTCCTTCTGGAGTGGCTGAAGCCGCAGGGCAGGGAGGAGCTCCCATCTCTCACCGGGATTCCTGCGGCAGCAGGGGCGCGACGCTGGAGGGCTTGGGGGACTTGCTGAGGCTGGGAGGCAGGCGGCCCTCTCGAGCGGCGGCGACCGCAGGCGGCACAGCACCCCCCTGGGGCGGCGGCAGTGCCATCAACTCCTCGCCCGAGGTCACCGCGCAGTCCTGCTCCGGCTCCGTGTTTCCACCCCCGACCGCTGTCCCACAGCCGCGCTTCTTGTCCTCCTCCTTTTTCCACTTCATGCGGCGGTTCTGGAACCAGATCTTGATGTGTCTCTCGGTCAAGTTCAGCATGACGGCCAGCTCCACTCGGCGTGGCCGAGAGATGTATTTATTGAATAGGAACTCCTTCTCCAGCTCCAGCAGCTGCGCGCGAGTGTAGGCAGTGCGCGTCCGCTTGTTCTCCTCTGGCTCTGCTGCGTAGGCGCCGCCTGTAGGTGATACAGCAAGTAAGTGTGGTCCCCGACCCCTGGATCTTCTCTCTGCCACCACCAGTGCAGCAGGATCCTAGGAGCTCCGCCCCCCAGCCACACCCACCGCCATCCCAGACCCTTACCCCCGAAAGACAGGCTGGGCGCAGGTAACCTTCCCCAGGAAAAGATGCATTTTCTCGGAGGTCAATCTGAATTCTGTCAGAGTGGCTCTTGAGTGAATTCACTTAACTGATGTTTGGGTTGGTGCTGATTAAACTGCACATAATAGGGCCTCCCTGGTGGCTCAAGGGCTTGAGATGCAACTTATGAAGCTATCCTCAGCCACTGCAGCAGGAGTTCGAGCCCCGGCCTGGGAGAAACCCACATGGCACAGTAGAACTCTCCTGCCTTGCCCGCTGCTCCTCTCAGCAGTGTCTTCGGTCTGTCTGCCTGTTCTGTTCCCCACTCTGTCTCTGGTGAATTCTCTCACCCTCCCGCGCCTCTGACCGGTATCCCAGTTCTTGTATAAATAAATAAATCTTTTTAAAAAATAAAGTGCACATAATAGATATAGAAAGCCAATGGATTCTACCAAGACAATACCATGCCTTGTGTACCGGGCTTAAAAAAATCCACAGTAAGAAATACTTTCCAGATCTCCATCCAGTCTACACACAGCTATATAACCAACACACACAAAAAATCAGGACATAAAACCAAACTTTATCAGGTGTGATGCTATCTAATTTTACCTATTCTTAATGATTTCATAAAAGCTGGTCTCAACCCAGTAAATTGACATGTTGATGGACTGATCGGTTGCAAACCTCAATTTGAAAAACCTTCAGCTAGTAAAAAGCCCCAAGGTTATGATATATTGTTATATCTAGTCATATATTATCTCTCTATATTGTAACCATCCCCAACTTGAGAGCAGGTGAATTCTCTGTAATTGTCATTTTAACCGCAGTGGAGGGGCCCCTGCCCTTGAGGAGAAGGGAAACTATTCTGAACTCCAGGAAATGTCACTGGCAGCCCAGGTCTCTGTGCCATCCATCCCAAATACAGTCAAAAGTGAATAGAAGAGATTGGGGAGGGTCAGAGGAGGCTGATGGCAACTGGGGGAGCAGAGTGCTGAACCCCACTGAGAAAATGGGAACCCTTTGAAGGAGGGTATAGTGGTGAGGTCTAGGGCTCACGTCTCCTAGCTTCAAGGCCAGTCCAGGAAGCAACCCATCCAGCCCGGCTGGCAGATCAGTGCTACATGCAGGTGTTTGCAGTTGAGGTCAGGATCTTTTCCTTTCTGTGCAATATATTCACTGCATCTGGTGTGTGGATGCCGCAAGTTCCACCAGTACTTGGGCAAGGGGCCTAAGTAAGCTTCTCTAGGGCAGAGATATGGGGCATTTCTCCCGAGACAGTTGGCTAAGCCTCAGGGAGATGAAAAACTAGTGAGCAGATTTAGGGGAAGGATTAATCTGCTAGGGTTCTCCCCTCCCATCCAGGTGCAAAGGAGGGGTCTAGAAACCAAGGCGGAGAGGTTCAGATCTAAGAAAACAGAGTACTGTTCCTTGGGAGAGCAGTGAGGAGTGGAATCTCCATGCCTTACACTTACAGGCCTTCCTTGGTCTCAGAGATAAACTTACAGTAATAATTGTAAAATGTCCTCCAAAGTTCTTAAATTCAACCCACAACCTCTCTGGACTCCAGTCATTCTGGCAGACTTCCAGAAGTTCTGTGGGGTCTGCTGCCCCAGGGAACTTGCACCCTGATAAGAAGATGTCCGGGGCTCCCGGATTAGGCCTTTCCTATGGCACTGGGTGAGCTGGGTTAGGGGAGAGTGGGCTAGTGAGATTGATGCAGTTCCACTTTCAGAAATCCCTGTTATTAGTATTCATATCTGCGCTGCAAAACAAAGCCCCTTTCATCACTGCACTCTTCCAGGGACGCAAAACCCCTCTAGGAACAGGCAGTAAGGCTCAATCGCCCTTGAGGCCCGGTTCCTTCGAACATTTGCAGATAAGAGGTGGGTCGCAGCACACCCAGCACCCTACTTTCAGGAGAAGGGAGGTGGTACCCGCCTTTCTTCAGGCCTGAGCTTCCAAGGGGTCAGAGCGCAGTGGAAAAGGCCTGTCCCTGTGAGTTTCCAGCCAGAGGATGTTTCCTTCCAGAGTCCCTCCATCTCGGCAACCGTGTTGATTTTCTTGGGTTTTACTTTCTGGCTCCTTGGATTCGCTCAAGCCAGAGTTCCACCAAAGCATGGGTCACACCCCACTATGGTAGGTTAGGAACTTACTTCAATTCAGAAAACCATTTTTAGGGCCTTCCTTGACTTTTTTTGTCCCCCGAGGAAACCGTGAGGAGGACCCGAGTGCCCCAAATGCAAGTCCCCTGCGCCGTGCGGGAAGAGAGCCACGGAGGCAAGGCGGGAAACTAATGACCGAGACTAACAGCCCCAGGGGGGTGACTCTGTTCTTCCCCTTCCAAGACCCCTGCATTTCCCTGGCCTCTAAGGCCTTTGGTCCGAGACGTGCGGGCTCGATGAGTACCCAGAGCGCCTCGCAAGCATCTCCGTCTCCTTGGTCTCCAGGTTTCGCCGGAGGTGGGGACCACTGGGTCCTGTCCTGTTTCAGGATCTCTCCAGTCCTCACCGACCTTCACGGGAAAGTCAACCAGTGAGGGGCGACCCGCATGCTCTACGCCAGCTGGGAACACCCTCACCCCCCAAAGCCCCGCTTGGCTGCCCCCGAATTTGTGTCAGGCAGGGTCGGCGGTAAGGAGAGCCGAGAGTTCTCGGAGCGCGCCAGCTCGAGTGTCTTTCCCCCACTCATGGCTGTCAGATGCCAGGGAAAGAACAGCTATTTGTGGCGCAGGTGCGGCCAGAGGTGGCCGCGCGCGGAAGCGGTGGCACCGCAGCGGCGGCCGCACAGGCCGCGCCGGAACTCGCTTCCAGCCCGGGGCGGGGAAGGCGCCGGGGGGCTGCCGGGCCCTGCGCCCCGGGATCGGGGGAGACCTTCCGTTCCGAGCCCGCACTAGGGTCGGCACGCGAGGCTCCCGCCGCGTGTGCAGCCGGGGTGTCTCCTTGAACCTCCCTCGCTAGGAGGCCGCACGGGTTGCGGCTTCAAACGCTTTTGCTTGGTCAAAAATAAACTCGAATCGCAGCGGCCTCTCTCAGAGGCCGGACGCGGAGGCTGCGGGGCCAGCGCTCCACCTGGCCGAGAGGCCCGCGCCCGGGGCTTCTTCCCTCGCTGCCGGACCCCTTTGCAGAGTGAGGTGCGATTTCCCTTCCCTGCTTTTCTGCATCTCCTGGGGCTCCGGGGACGGCCTGGTCTTCTCAAGTGAAGCCGCCCGGGCTACCTCAGGGCAAAAGGGGCCCCGAGACAACGAAGGAGCGCCCCAAGCCCGGATTAGAGGCATCTCAAGTCCTAAATAGGCTTCCTCTACTCTCAGGTGTCCTGGGCTGGCGGCTCCTCCCCTGAGAAGGCGCTCGAGGGTCTGGTGCCTGGACCTCAGCAGAGAGCCACCCTGACATCAGGGGGTCCTGCAGCTCAGGGTAGAGGGTTGGAAGCTGGAGGAAGGAGAGCTGAGTGGGAGCAACGGATTCAACTGGACTGGAGACGTGTTGCCGGGCAGGATGGCCTCGGTGGCTTTCTGCATCGTTTATTCGGACCCCGGGTTATCCTCAGGGGCTGGGAGCGCCAACTGGAAGAGGGTCCTGGGAAGCGCTAGGGGACAAAGGGGGCGTGGATCCAGGCTTACCTGCCCACTGGCCTTTCCACGCGTGAGCCTTAGTAGATTTCATCCACGGGAAGGGCAGCTGGACGCGACTGGGCTCCTCTAGGGGCCCGGACTCGACTCCATCCGGGAAGGGCCCGGCAGGCGCGGGAGGGAGCGCGAGCTGGGCAGGCAGGTGGTGGTGGAGGTGCGCCACCGTGGGGTCGTCGGCCAGGGGGGGCACCTCGTATGGGGAGATGTCCGGGGGGCTGCCCTGCTCGAGCGGGCCCAGGGCGCTGGGGAAGGGGGGCGGCGGTGGCGGGGGCTGGCGGCCCATGTACAGGCAAGCCGGGGGGCTGGCGCTGAACTCCGGCGCTGGGCCCCGCTGGAAGGCGCACGGGTCCTTGTAGAGCTGCGTAGCGGCGTAGTACTGCTCCTCGCCGTTCATGGCTGCCGCCCCGGCTTGGGGACCCGTAGGGAACTGGAGCCCGGGACTTGGGGCTGTGCGGCGCTCCTGCTTCTGGCGCCACCCCAGCTCGCTTTGACAGCTCCGCTCAGCTCGCCCAGGGAACCCGCGGACCACGGGGACTGGCCGGCTGGTCGCAGCGCCATAGGCTCCCCGGTGCCCCACGTGGCTCAGCCTGGAGCCATTATTGGCTTGGCTGACTGCTTTAAGAAGCAAGGCCCAGGTAGCTAGGAGCACCTGCATTTGTTTCAATTTTCTCCCCCAGCTGAGTTTACTGGACGCACTTGGAGAGCTGGTAGTAATCGCCAAAGGGAGGCCTGCAGGAAAATATTAGAACTCCTATTCATTTATAGAAAAATGTTCATGGCACTTTAAAGATTTATTTTCCTTGTATGTTTGACAATGCACATAATATGCTTGTTATGTAATATAATTTATAAATATAGACATATCGAGTTTGTGTACCAACTTTCTTTTAGCTGTCAGAGAATGCGGTTAAAAAAGTTTGCAGATCCCGTCTCTGCAAGTCAGAAATTGTTGGTTCTATTTTATTTATGACATATGTACACAACCACCAATCATGTTAGTGATCTAATACACAAAGATCCAGCATTCCTTATGTTTTTTTCTGTGGCTGAGCTGAAATTTCTGGAGTGCAAATGGGAACATCATAAGCATTTACAGTGGCTTTTATTTTTAAATTGGAGGACATTATTAGTTTTGATTTTAAGGAAATTGGGGCTTTTTGACCAACTCTAGCAAGGGTGAAAAGAAGTAGCATCCCCTCTTGTGGTTGGGAGATGAAAGGGGAGGGTTGGCATTGGATTTCCAGATTCTTGATGGCTCTCCACCGTCAACTGGAGAATGTCCACTGCTGTGTGTGACTGAAATAGAGCAAACAGGAGAGAGAAAAGTAGTGTTAAGAAACACAACAGCTGCATTCATGGCAATGCCAATCCTTGGAAGTTTCCACCCACTCAGCAACTTCTGGGCACTCTGCGGTCTCAAATAGACTGCTTTTTGGACCCCATGGTATGGACTATCTAGGGTGGCAGTGGCCTCCTACCTCTGACCTGAGTCTGCACATCTCTGTCCACCCACCTGCCCTGGATATCTAGCACAGCCTCCACCTGGTTCTGCCAATATGATCATATTCCTCAACCACAAAGGGGAGGGAGTGTACAAAAACCGGACAGCTTTGCTGAAAAGTTTCTGCAAGAGGGAGGGTGAATCACAATGAACCAGCGCCTGATTACCCCTGCAGGAAATCACTGCAACCTGACTTTCCTAAACTACAAACTACAGCCGGTCCTTTGCCAGGTAGATTTTAATATATTTTCTCCTAGTGGAAATATTTGCATTAAATGAGTATGGATTGAATGAGCTACTCTGAAATGTCTTCATTTTTTTTCACATATGAAAGAACTTTTATCTAAAACTCTAGTTCAGTTTTTTTTGTACAATTGACATTTTATACAATTGACTTTTTAAATTTTTTAAACAATATTTGCTCCCCCCACCCCCTCAGGTTGAGTCCCCATAGAATTTCCTTCCCCAAGGCACCCAGGCACCATCACCACAGTCCCCTGTGCTCCTTCCTCCCTCCCTCTGATCTCTCTCCCTCCTCCTTCCCTGCATTATGTCTCTGGTTTATAATTGTCTGTTTTTGCTTTGTTGTGTTTTGTACTGTTATTATTATTTTTTTACACTGATGTCTTATCTGGTTCCCCTATATTCCTGCTATAAGTGAAACCATCTGATATTTTTCCTTTTTCCTTCTGGCTTATTTCACTGAGCATAATTCCTTCTAGCTCCATCCACGTTGCTGCGAATGGCATGAGTTTATCTTTTTTAATGCTGAATAATATTCCATTGTGTATATGTACCACATCTTCTTGATCCAGTCATCTATAAAATGGAGCTACCATACAACCATATGGCCCAGCAATCCCACTACTAGGGATCTACCCAAAGGACACAAAAACATTGATTCAAAAGAGCACCTGTACACCCATGTTTATTGCAGCACTATTTACAATAGGTAAAACCTGGAAACAATCCAAATGCCCTGAAATGTCTTCATTTTCATTAAAAAAACAAAGTCAGCTGAGGCCTCCCTGGTGGCACAAAGGATTGGGACTCAACCTATGAGACTGTCTGCAGCCTCTGCAGCACGAGTTGGATCCCCTCTCCGCTGGGGAGCAGCCCGCATAGTGCAGCAGCCCTCTCCTGTCTGTCTGGCTGCTCCCCTCAGCAGTGTACTTCAGTCTATCCGCCAGTTCTGTTCCCCACTCTGTCTCTGGTGAATCCTTTCACACCCCCCCCCACACCTCTGGACTGTACCCAAGCTCTTGTATGCATAAATAAATGAATTTTTTTTAAAGAAAAAAAAAAAAACGAAGTCAGCTGAGAATTTGGAGTTGTCTGAATTTTCCTTCTCTTTTGAAATGTTGGTGCGGTCTCAAGACGCGCGCATAGATGCGCCCTGGGCACCCAAGGGTCTTTGCTAGTCTGGGAACCAGAGCTGCTCAGGGGCTTATCGCTGGCCGGCTCTCACCCAAAGGCAGACTGAAGGAAGACCAGAGGGTCGGGGCAGAGTGGCGATTTCTTCAGGGAAAAGGGCCACCTGTGGTCCTGGGGGAGTGAAGGGCCGTGGGACCCGCGTACCTAATCTCTGCATGCCGCATCAATGAGTCCATTGTTCGTGCGGCCGCGGAGGACCGGGCGCTATCGCCCTGGCCGCTAGTGACCACATCGATCAGGAGGGCAGGGCCTGAGCGGGGTTGCCCGGTCGCGGCGTGTTGACCCTCGGAGATAATCTGCCAGGTCGCCACGGGTTGACTTGGCGACGCGGTTATGAGCAGGCAGCGCGTAGTCTTGGGACAAAGATCGCCACTTCCCCCCTCCCTCATTTCTTCTGCCCGCTCCTCCTTCCCCCCACGTCTCTGCCACAACACCCCCCTCTCCGGACTCGGCCCGAGGTCCTCCGTCGCCTCCTCCACGCCTCAACGGCCACCCCGACCCAGAGTGTTTACTTTGCACTTCTGGTCTAATTGCACATTTCTGTAAATTGGTCTCCATTTCGATGCTTCATTTGCTCGCATTTAATATTTTCGCTAGGCTCCGCGGAAGGAAAAGAGGGGCTCAGCAGAAAGCAAATCCGCCCACCGCTCTGGCTGCAAAAACCTGACAACCCCCAGCTGAACAGAAAAATGGGGGAGCAGGCTGCCCACGGCGTCCACGGGAGGCAGGGCCACGCTTTCACAATCAGCATTTTCGGGAGCCCGCTCCAGGAAGACGAGACCCGGGAAGCAAAGGTCAAACAGCCACTCACTGCTGTGATTATTATTAAGTGGGAGAAAACGAACAGGATTTTTGGTTCGGCTCGTTATAACGCACATCCAAATAAAAAGCTGCACACCCCGCAGACCCCTCCGCCCAGCAAGGCCACGTGTTGTGTTTCTTGGGTGGCTATGGCTCCTGGTACCATAAAGCAGCCAAGTCCATTACAGGTGAAATGCGTTTCCGCTCGGCATCCCCCGCTGTCGCCCGCGCCCCTCTGCCTCCCACAGGCTGGGGAGCGATACCGAGCCATTAGGCCCGCGCCTTCCCGAGTCATTTAACAGCTCTTATGGATAAATAAACAAAAAAGGCTGTAAACCAATTATAGTGTGGACAGTGAAAAAGTCGTTTATTAGCAGGACGTCCTGATAGCCCTCGCTGATACTGGAGGTCCTGGCCGGTCCTCTTGCCCGGTTCCTTCCTGAGCCGCGGCTGGCCGCCTGGGGAACACAGGTTACCTTGTTCTTGGAAGGTGGCTGAGTCTTCTCGGTGGAATCGCAGACAGGTCAAGGGCTGAACGTTGCTCGCTAAGAATAAGTAGTTTGAAGCCATTGTATCCATTATAAAGGAAAGACAAAGCAAAACAAAAAGAGGTGAGCCTCACTTAGTTGCAAGGATGTGTTCACAATGAATTCGCATGGAATTTAAGTGATGAGAGCACGTTAGTTTTTCTCATTTGCAGTTCAAAATAAAATTAGACTATATCCTGAGGTGAAAAATGAAAACAAACGGTAGGGTACCGGGTCGCTCAGGAGATCACTCCGCCTTTGATTTACTTTGAGTTTCTCTACGGGACCATTTTCTTCTGTGGGCACTCGTTGCAGGCCGTTGTTTTAGTGCCCCCAGGGAAAATGGTTTTCTCCTTCCAGATTTTCTGTCTGGCACCAAGTCTGGAAGCATCTTGGAAAAAGCCAACTGATTCAGGAGACTATGTCAGACTTTGCTTTAAAGTCTTCCTATGGATTCCGAGGGCAAAACAAGCCAGTAAAATAAATGATGTTGAAATTATTTTCCGGAGAATTCAGCCCCTCCCCACCACAGCGGGGCAGGTAAGCACGGCCTAAGAATTCAATTTAACTGGACAACTGCGTTGTCCTCTACTGCTAATTCTACCGTGATGGACGAGCAGTAAGGGCTACCCCTGAGGCTGTGTTACCCCAGGACTGTGCACAGCTCTCTGGCTCACTGCTTAGTGCTTGCTCCCCAAGAGTGACACCTCCCCCCCAACCAAACTTCCTTCCCACTTTTTTGTTTAATCCTTCTGAGGCCCTCTGTTTATTTTGCAGCTGAAAGGAAAAGTGTTAAAGGAAATTGAGATATCAAAGGGTCTAAGCCCCTTGCTTGCCTCTTCCCAGCACCCCTGGGGTTGGCGTCAGCCTTCTGGACCCATCCTTTTGCCCAGTCTTACCCAGGCTCCATCTCTGTTCCATCATCCAGAGAGGCATGCAGTCTCTAGAATCCAGCCCTTGCCATTCTCTTCTCATCTTAGCCCTGGATAACCAGCTCCTTGCTTGCTTTGAAATTAATTTTCTTTGCTCCCCACCCCCTCCCCCATCACCATTTCCTGTGACTAATCCTTTGTTCTCCTGGGAACCTTTTCTTACCTCTAGGTTCCTGCTGGAGCCTAGAGAGGCTTAACCTATACTTC